ACTAACGGATGGCTGAATGCGCAAGGGGATCGATCACTTACATACCCATGGACCCACGGAGCAGTGTGTGTGAGGTGGCAAATTGAAGAATGACGACATTGAAATATGTGGTTGGCCATGACATATACTTCAAGTAATATTTATTCAAACAAAACGCAGTATTTCTGGAAGATGATAGGGTTGAACATGAGCATGTTGCCTCGTATTGCCTGACTGATGTACTTCGAAGTACTAAAGTAACTAGCCTTGATTTGCAGATACCTTATTCACAACTAATAGAATGATAATGAGAGGAGCTCATACAGCATAGTAGAGTATTTGCCCATCGTTGTTGCTCGCATCAACGACGGGCAAATCCATTTCTGCTAGTAAGGCAAGACTAGCATTCGAGAGTCCTGAATCATGCCAGCAATTGAGCTAGCAATTTGATGTAGCCCTTTGATATTCCTTGGTACTAGTATGCGTTATGTGTGTGCAATGTGACTTTGCGTGAAAGTTAAGAAGTAAAACGTACAGCTGTGTGTGGAGCTCAACGACAAGTTATTCGTGTAAACGCTAGCAATTTGGGTAAGAGCCGTGGTGAATCTACACCAGAAAGTAGAGGTTTCAGCCACTAGGCGCGACTAGCTCATAGTGCATGTAAATCGCTACAACTGTATCGATTGGAACCCCTACATCGTCTATAAACCCCCACGGCCTTGTATAAGCGATGCGTAGTCAGTGAAGACCACGAATTCCTCCGAGCACAGGAGGTAGATACGAATCTTCTTGAGGGCATAGTACATCGCCAGAAGCTCCAAGTCATGAACAGGATAGTTCTTCTAGGACTTGTGGAGCTGGCGGGATTAGAACGATACCGGGCGATCCCGGCCTGAATCGTCGGGCTGCATCAGGCAGCAACCGATGGCGCGAATAGATGCGTCGCAGACCACGAAGAAGGGTCTGGAAAAGTCTGGCAGAGCCAGAACTGGGCTATGGTGAGGCTCCTCTTGACGGCCTCGAATGCCACTTGGCACTGTTGGGACCATACCCAAGGAACGTCCTTGCCAAGTAAGCGTGTCTTCGGTCATACCAGGTCGGCGAAATTCGCCGAGTACTTGTGCAGATAGGTAGCGAGTCCCATCCAACTGCGCAGTTCGGGGACTGAACTTGGCGATGGCCAGGCTTTGATTACGGCCACCTTGGCCGGGTCCACTCAGCAGCCGTTGATGCCAATGACGTTACCGAGGACAGGAATCTCGGGTACCCCGAAGAGGCACGTTGAGAGGTTCGCATTTATACATGTGTCTCGCAGGTTCTCAAGCACCAAAGATATGTGTGACTGGTGGACATCCACGTCGGATTGTAACGAACTGTGGATGTAGACGTCGTCGGAATACGACGGAGCAAAGTCGCGAAATGGACGGAGTTTCGCCGTGACGACGCGATTGAAGGAAATAGGGACGTCCTTCAGCCTCTGGGCATCACCAGTCATTCCCAGAGTATTCCACTGGATGTAGAGACGGCTGTCCTCTCGATGTCCCTGATCTTCATTCGGATCTGGTAGAACCCATCGTGACGGTCGATAGTGCTGAAGATCATGGACTGTCCCATATCGTCAATGATGACATCCTTCCGCGGGATCGGCGTCTGCGCCGGAATCATGGCCAAGTTCAACTTGTTGTAGGCGTGAACAATGCACCATTTCCCGTTGCATTTCTTGACCCAGAAGGTGGGACTAGAGTGCAGGGACTTGCTCTCCCGCACATGACCGGCTTGCGTGCGTGCAGCAAATTACTCGTCAATGTGCGACTTGGTCGCTTGGAAGTGGCCACTGTCGAGTGATGCACCACTTGGTGAGTCAATGTCATGCCGTACCCCTTTGGCTTTGGGGAGACATTCCGGAACACTGTCCGGGAAGACATCTTGGAACTCACGAACCAAGCAAGTCGTAGTAGGGGTTCGATTCCAAATCCTTCCATACCGATGAGTAAGGACGAGACACATCCCCCTCGACGGGATCGTCGGTTGTCGAGGAAATCAGGAGGTCCGTCTTCTGACTCTCCGTGATGAGAGCAATGTTGATGTTGTCGTGTCCGCGTAGCGCACATGCAAAAGAGAGATAGCGCATCTCTACCCGCTGAGTGATCTCAGTGTCAGTCAGCGGCAACTCGGACAGGTCACAGAGGACAAAAGCGTGTGTATGACGCATCGAGCGTTCACTGGGGGTGGAATTCGGACCATCGCCGTTCATGGCGGTTCTCAAATCATCGCCATCCGTGGTGGCTCCCATATCTTCGCCAAACGTGGCGGCATCGCCGTCCATAGCGGTGCCATACTTTCCCCAAATGTAGCGGCATCGCAAACCATGGCGGCTCCATTTCATCGCCACACTTGGCGGCACCGTCATACGTTGCAGCAAGTGCGTCCCACCACCTCGTAGCCAAGGCGGTGGGCCGCGCGACTAACGGCGTCACCAGACCAGGCAAAGGAGTGAGTTCATTACTTATCACGCCTAGGTCGGTGGAAGGACCGACGGGTGTGATCTTGCGCATGGTCTTGGATCACCTTTCGATCTAGGGTTGGTGTTTCTCCAACCACCACATGCCAAGAATCAAATCCATGGGTCATTGAGGTCTATGACGTAATATTGTTCGGTCGAGACAAAATCTCCCACCGATGTGGGAAGGTCGAAGGTCGAAAAGGATCTTCGACAAGGTGATAACCTTGCCATCAGCCTCCTTTGCATGCACGATGGAGTGCGGCGATGATCCCGTGATTCAACTGAATCGAGCGTCGGGCATATTTTTCCGACGCACCGCAGTCGATGAGGACGCGGAACAAATGGTCGTACCCAGATATACGACTGGGGAAAGGCAACTTGACGGAAGGTTGTCTTCCTATTTGACACAGAATCAGTGTGTCTGAGGAAGGACCCGCTGATCGTGTTATGCCACCACGATCAAAGGCAAACCCTATGTAGCCTCAGTAGGACGTCTTGCGCCTACTAAGGAGTCCCATTTCCCCGCCCGCGAGGAAACTTGTGACCGCCGCGTCCTTGATCGACAATGGGACGAGCGAAGCAGCGGGGTGATGGGATGCGGCAACACCACGAACCGATATCGGCGTACAGCGTGATTAGCGACACTTGCGGGAGAAGTGCACCGTTCGGTAGCAGTTGAAGCAACGACGGTCGGTAGCGGGGGAGAGCTAATGTCATGTGGATTTCAGGTCTTGGTCACGGTGCGCGAGTGGAAAACCGAAACTCTTCGGCCAACGCGGTGCGGACGGCATCTTCGAGCGTCGAAGGATATGTCAGAAAACGCTGCGTGCGTACAACTGAATCGTTGAGGCCGTTCATAAAGACTGTGAGGTTGGTCTCTACGGACGTGATTGTACAATACTACCTCTGTCCGGTTTAATTGTCGTGATTTTTTCACAGTGGGATCAAAAATCAGAAGATTTTTGTAAAGAGATGTGATTGTCTAAAACAAAAAATTGAACGCAAGGCGAATCGAATGGCGGTCGAATGACCAAGATTGGCATGATGGCTCACAAGACACACGAATTTGAATGTCCTTGCACTTTTCATTTGAAAAATACTTACGTCGGTCTCGCATGAAGTTTCGCCACCTCCATGAAAACAAGATCGCTATATATGCTGTTCTGCTGCATAACAGTACCAACGGAAAGCCACGCTATGGAGATGTGACCGAGCGCACCATACAGCGTGTCTGGCTGGACCCGTGGACAAGTCAACCTGTCGTTCAAACCTATGCTGTCGCGATAAAGAAAGCCATAGGACATTTTGACCTTGCAAGAACGAGTTTCAAAGCTGCATCCAACACAAAAGATGGATTTCCGCACAATGGAAGAAGCCTTGGATATTCCAAAATCTACTCAGCACGACTACTTCGCCGCTGGCATCATTGTCCACAAACACTCGTCGTTGAAACCGTTGCTGACCCCCGAAAACATGCAAGCAAGAAAGCAATACGCGCTCGCCTTCACAAATGTCGTCTCTGGCTCTGTCGTTTTCGACGCCATGATGGACCGAGTCTTCTTGGACGAGAAATGATTCTACCTGCGCAGGGTCAAGAGCAAATTTTACCTTGCACCATTAGAGGACGAACCTAAGTTGTCGACCAAGAACAAACGTTTCGTTCCAAGTGGCAAGTTCTAGACGGCAGTTGCCCGGCCGCGGGTCGTCGACGGAATCCAGTTTGACGGCATACTTGGTATTTGGCCCTTCGTTGAACAAATCGCCGCAAAGCAGCGCAGCCACCGGTGCGAGGCAGGAACGTTGGAGACAATGTCATAGCGGTGACGAAATCTACGTACAAGAACATGCTCCTCAATCGAGTGTTTCCGAGCATTTTTGAAAAGTTACCACAAACCTACCAACTCATTGTTGTGCAACACGACAACGCCACGCATCATGGAATCACCTTGGACCCTGACGTTGTCAGTGGCAGCGCAAGCATGAGCGTCAAATCGTGTTATCGGTAGCCAACCACCCAACAGCCCAGATCTAAACATATTGGATCTGGGCTTCATTAACCCCATCCAAACGCTGCAGCAGAAGATGCCAGCTTACACTGTGGACGAGTTGATCAGCAACGTGAACGTTGCATACCTCAACGTACCCGATGAGTCGCTCGACAACGTGTTCTTCACGTTGCAGACTGTATTAGAATGTATTCTGGAGACAGATGGAAACAACAAGTTCAAGCTCAAACACATCGGCAAATAAGCAATACGCCGACGAGGTGAGCTTGATGAGTCCTTGACTTGCTCGGTGGACACGTACCTCGCTGCTCGTCTTGCTGATGTTTCTGTTGACCAAGAATAATTTTTGTCCAATACATTTGCATCAGTCTTGATTTTGTCCAATAATGTATAATCACGAGAATCAAAACCGGAAATCGCATTCTAAAAAGGCGACAATTACCGTGTAGCGTTTATAGTTTTAGGCAGTCTTTTAGTTTTAGACACTCCAAAACGTTATTGAATATAGAGTATAGAGGCCCTCCCAAATACAATCCCCCTTATAATTAATATTATCTCCATTGTATGATGAGTTTTCTTATGTTCAATGGTAGACCTAACTTTTTATGATGATCCACTTTTAATATTTGAAGGTGGACAATTTGCCATTATCCGAAATTTCAGAGTACGGATAATTGCCCCGTGGGTGTCTAAAACTATAAACGCTACACGGTAAAATCGGACAGAGGCAGTACACCACATCTTTACTGCTAGTATACGTATAAAGTTGTACAGTAGTATGACTGACTACAAGTTAGCACGCTTTGGATGGCAGCTGCTACAGTTACTGGTATTTTTGCAACGTTAGCTACAACGCGTAGCTCCATATACTAACATATGTTAGCATATGCTGGACGTACCGTATAGGTAACAATAACTACCCTGCCTTTTTTCGCTCAGGGTAGATCGAGAAAGACCCGCCAAAAAATCCCAAAGCCGTTATTCGGCCCGAGATTATATTTGATGTTCGTATAGTATACAAATATTAGGCTTAATTTAAACAACTTCATTAAAGTATACTATATCAATGCTCTAATGTCCGAAAACATATGCGAGGACATATGGCATCATACCTACACCGTATGGTTTTCAATAATATATTTTGTATGTCGATACAAAATTCAAGAAGTCAAATACTAAGAAAGATTTCCACGACGTTCGCAAGGAAGGCATCTGTAGGTCAGTGTCAAATAGGACTGCATTAGGTTTTATCCTAATCCTAATATTGCCCAATGGGCTCACCTAATTCCTAGTGCCTATGCAAAAGCTTGTGCGTAGGATAGCACTGTTTTTGGGAGGTTTTCAATAAATAGATGGAGGTACCGTGCGATTGGATGGCAG